AAATTCAATTACAAGAAAGAGAGTTTGCCCTTCTGTCAGTGCTTCTCTGTAGAGGTGAGACTGGAAGGCAACAATGGGACTAAGAAAGGCTTTGTGTCCATTAGCAACACTCTTAGTGGAGAAATATGCAATTACTGTAGGTTCCCCAGAAAGATTTATCAACAAATTCAGTCCTGCAAATCCATGTAGTCTGTGGAGAGACACTTTCAAATGTTTCTTTCACAGCAACTTATTCACATTAGCTGCAAAACCTCCTCAGAGCTTCTGGCACAAGTGCTGTGTCTGAGCTCATGAATTCACTCTCTTTCCACTGATAACTGAAGAGCAAAGGAGAGGCAGACAGCAGTCTTACGCAGTGCCCTAAGGGTCAAGGAATCCCAAGTAAAAGCCTGTCAGGAACCATCAAGCACATTATGCCAGCTGAGATTTTCAGCCCAAAGGGCTGCTGCACAGCTAGGTCACTGACAGCAGCAGCTTGATACTGATCACATGGCTCAGTGCAGTCTTGCATTGAGCAGCATCATTTTATCTTTTTCTCTCTATAGCGGAAGACATGTAGGAATCAGGACAGGATTTGAAGAATACATGAAATGTTGTGGGGTTTTTTGCAATTGGTCAGAAGATCGTATCAGAGAGACTATCAATATTTTAGGTAATATCCTAAAAGTATTAATACCTCACAAATACTACTGATTTGCCCAAAACACAAAGAAGTAACACTAAAAAACCCCAAGAACCAATGCCCCTCCCCCAAACAGTTGTACAGAGAAATTCTAATGAATGGCTTCATCTCTCAGAAAGGGAATCTGGCACAACTTGTCAAAGCCCTAAGGACCTTCTCACTACTGTTTTTGCTGTTTGTACTGTAATTGTACAAAGTACAGAGTCGACATTCTACAATGCTAGGTGCTGTAAAGTACATGCAGTACAATATCATTTCTGTCTTGAAGAGCTTACACTATCCTTGCAAACAAGACAAAACAAGTTACTCTGAAAAGGGGAAAGATGCAGAGCAGATGACAGCAAGATGATGACGGTGATAAGGCCTACATACACAGATGCAAAGAAAAAAGAAAATTGATGGCTCTAAGCTAGCTCTAAGAATCTCTCCTTTTCATAATCAGATAATTCAGCTTATTTCCAGTTGCCAATTAAGGTTGCCTTCAGTGAGTGGCTTAGTTCTCATGGGCATCCCATCTGTCTTGTTCCTGGCCCTTCCCCCCTGCCCTCCTCCCCCAAGGGTATTGAGACTTTTTTAAAGAGGAGGACATTGTTTAGTTTACAGATTTATTTCTGTAATGTTGTACAGAAATAAAGGACTGAACAAGCCAAAAGTTTGTCTGATACCAAAGCCTGTGTCTATTGCCAGAGAAAACCAAAGAAGCAGTATCATATTTGTCCCTAAGGAAAGAGTTGAACAAATCATTCCAGCCAATCCAGACAGCAAGAGAAAATGAGGTACTTTCATTGTTAGAAGTTGATACTTCTCACCGTGATAACATCTTCCTTCCCAAGGATCCCAAACTATATAGCACTGTCAGGCTTGTTACTAGGAACAAAGCAAATGTTCCTTCCTGTAAAACAGGGCTATACACACTGCTGAGCTGGTATTTTGAATTGCCAGGCACACAACAGATCTAAAAGCAGTATCTGACCCTCAACCCTGTCACACACATCACGGATACCTTCTCAGATAAATACCGTTAAACTGTCACATAAGATCCAGCAAGGGTGTTCAAGTTAGAGCCAGCAGAAACATTCTTTACAGGAAAAGGGGATCTCAGACAGAAACACTCTTTACAGAAAAAGGAGATCTAGACATCAGCTTGCAGAGTCTAGTGGAAACAGTGCTACATCTGCAAGCTAAAAGCAAGAGTTTTTTCTCAGTCATGCTCCAGCTAGCAGGTGGTCAGGAGACATTTCACCAGAAACAAAAGAAAACAAGTGTTTTGCGACAAGAATATAGACTCAAAAAAAAAAGTCCATTCCCTTGTCTCCAGTTCATTTGATTTATCAAACAAACAATTAAAGTTATGGAAAAAACAGTTTCCTAACCAAGGTAAGTTATAACTGGTTATTATTTCTGAGCTTCCCAAAGAGTCTTGAACAGAGCAGCACATCTACCTGCATGCTGGAAGAGAAAGTTTCAGGCAAAGGGTTAGTCTACAAGAAAAGTAAAATGCACTAGCAGGAAGTCTCTTCATCAAAAAAAAAAAAAAAAAGACACACAGACTCCTTTTAAGAGCCCAGAAAATATAAAGTGGGATGCTATGCACATTCTCTCTGCGTGATCAAATGCATTAGCATGAGGGCCCTGTTTTTCTTCAGTATAGGAAAGATCAAGAAAACAGGATGATAAATAATGTATAGGGGGAACATGTTCCTTTAAGATATGTTGGCACAGACATCAGGCTGGAAGAAGCAAAGCAGCATTAGTGTGTAATTACACAGAGGGTTTTCAAGAGTCTGCATTTCATGAAGATTCAAGAGCAGAGCTGAGATTTCTCAGGCTTGTAATGAACAAATACCAGTAGCATTTCAACATATCTATAAAATCAAGATTAGTCCTAAGAGAGGCATAATTTTACTTGTTTAACTAAAAGATGTGGATTAATTGGCAGAGGGGTGATTGATCCCTGTTCCTGTAAGGGTCAGGAGTGAGCCAGATGAGGGAAGCCTCAAGGTACTCCCAAGATTGAAAACAGATGTCCACATGACTGGGACAAATGAACACTGAAAAAAGTGGGAGAAAAAACTATCCTTGAAGATTAAAACTATTCTGGAAGGAAAACTGTAGAGATCAAGATCAGTCCTCTGCAATCAGCAATCACAGTGTTAGATGGCGGATAGCAGGGAAATACAGATCCAATTCCATTTCTTAGAAACAAGTGAAATACTCATTGCCAGCAAAACACTTACTGCTTGATCCATACAGAACTAAATGACTGCATAATTTTCAATTCTGAAATTTCACTCAGGTACGCTAAGTCCCAACAAAGTTTTCTTAATTACAAAAAAACCCCAAAACTTATTGGCTCGAAGACTTGAATTGACTAATGGTAAAATGGGGCATTGCAATGCGTGATGGAAATGCCATCAGGTTGCTCTTCAGCAGTGAGTCCAGCAGAGAGGTCCATGGAACATCACTGCATTGAGAAGTATGCCCTCTGAGAGGAGTTTGGAAAATAACTAATACCTGTCCTTGACAGACTAATTTTAATTTCTGAAAAGTTACAGAAGTCATTCTTTTACCCCATAAACACTTTTTTAAAAAGTTACTCATTTGGGCCTGCCTGTTAGCTTTCTAAACCCTGGGCTTAGTGTCTAATTTTAAGTCAGTATAAAAATAGGGAAAGGACAATTTTAAAATCTGCATGTCCTAATACCAAGTCCCTTTATCTCAAATCACTGCAGCATACTTCAAAACATGCACATTCCAACCCTCTCCCCTTCAGAAAAACATCGATTATGGAAAACACTGGGATAGTGCCCACAAACCTTCTGGAATCTCACAAGTTATCTTTGAGTTTGAAGATGCTGAGACTGAAGATCAAGTTTATTTGCTTGGGAAAGAAGTGCAGCCTTCAAAGCACAGCTGGAAGAAATGTTGATAGTTGAGTGGATAAATCTTTTGGGCAGTGAGGGCACACCACCAAGCCCTGGGAGCCAGAACATATGACATTTTCATAATATGAAACTTTGCATTCTACACCCATATTGGCTATCATTTATTCTCCACTTTAAATGGAGAATCCCACACTTCAAATCTTCACAGCTCTCAAAATTACTTTGTGCTTTGGTATGGGGACACAGTTTCATCTGCTAAACTCCAGATATTTTATAAAAGAAAAAAGAAAAAAGATAACTACTAGTTCTATATTACAGAATGAATGAAAATTAATCCTTTTCCTATCTTTCATTAAATCAGAAACTCCACAAGACACTCGCTGTGAACAAGAAAACATTGTAAAAATTGCATCTCCGAAAATAAATGGGAAAAACAAGATCTCCAGCACCAAAGTCAGTCTGAGGGTTTTGCTCTATGGTGACAGTTTAGTTCATTATAATGGTCTTGAATCACTACTTATTCTTTTAAAGGTAGAAGAGGAATAGGAAGTGGAAAGAAAACGGTTATCACATTAAGATGAAGAAGTACTATAGAGCATTTTGAACAGTTTCATTGTGTGAACAACCTCTTGCTCATCATTTAATTTTTGAAGTATATATTATCAGAAGTTTAGAAAAGGCACAGAAGAGTCAGTTTGAAATTAGATGCAATAATCTGCAGAGATGCCTCAATGGCAATTTCAGCAGAGTATTTCAAAGCCACCTTGCCTTCAACTCCAGTAAAGAAATCCTGTTGCTGGGTGGAGGTCATTGTAGTCCTGCTCTTTATCTTAAGCTCTTGTTTTCCAACTGTGTGCTCAGCTGACTAATGTCAGTATTATTTTCTGTGGACAGAAAGCACACAGCTTTTTGCTCAAGAATTTTCTTGCAAATTAGTAAGAAGAGATAGTGCTCACGTCCAGTATTTAAGGACTTATGCAGGTTTTAAGGGAAGAAGAGGCATCCTATTAAAGCATTCAACAGGACAACAATCACACAAGGAGACAAACAATTCAAATTAATACTCAGGAAAAGGAAGAATGAATGCTGCTGAAACCAGCAGCAGTCTGTGAAACAGTTTGCTTCAGTATTTCTCAAGCAGTTTGATACTAACTGTCCTGACCAAGAGAAGCAGAATTTGGTTTTCCATGGTTTTAAAATCACTGTTCCCCAGAGTGACTGCTTCACATGAATGTTTGTAATAGAAGAGGTACTGAACTGTACAAAACCCACGTACATTTCCAAAACAAGCTCAGGCAGCCCTCGACTAACCCAGTATAATCCAGCATTCACAACATAATCAGCACATGTCCAGCTCCATTTTCCACATATTCTGTCTGTTTCCAAAAGCTCCCCTCAGGCTGGCCCTATTGGCAGCATCCTGATGTACTTACTATTCAGTGAAGAACCTGGCAATGCCATACTGACTAATATCTTCTCTGTTCTCCAGCAGCTGGCTCACTGCATCTTCCATGTATGTGAGGACATGTCGCTGAGCTGCAAATAAAAAAGAGTAAGAGACAGAAGTTAGACTATAAGGGGCCTTCCCGAGCCAGACAAGCCCAGCTGTGTGCCTTACACAAGACATCAAGCATCTGCTTCCTCAATTAGAGAGTGGAAGTTTCTTTCTCCCAGAAATGGATAGCAAAATTCATCACCTAAATCCTGCTTTCCTTCCTGGCTACACAGAGTTAGTCATTATCAGCACTGACTTTTTTAGAATCCCCTGAGATTTTGGTATTGAAGGAAGATAACAAGTTGTGCGGCAGTTTCACTGGAAAATACTTTCCTGAGAGGAGCTCCTGATCTCTGTTCTGAGCCATCTTTCCTACCTAGATTGTCAATGCTGTTTTGATGGGACTGTGGCAGAGGCTTTAAGTGTTCTTTACTCTTCCCTCTATACCAAAGCCAAGTAGCTTTAAGGTTGTTTTGAAAAGGTTTCCTCCTGAAGGTGCAAATAAAAGTACATCTGTTTCCAAACAAGCATCAGTGAATGTGGCAGGTGGGGAACAGGTCTGAATGCCAAGAGAGATTTATATTGCTCAACAGCTGGTCTCAAATAACTGCCTAGGCCAAACACAGGAGAATTTCAGAAATGGTGGATCTGCCAATACCTCACCACAGAATGACACTCACTTATAAGACTCCTGAGTAAAGACAGGAGTGCAACACAAACTGTTTTGCTGCTTCTACAGGGGGCAGACTGTACAAAACAAGCATTTGCCAGGGAGGAAGCAGCACAGATTTACCACTGAGCCCTTTTGATGTTTTTGGCTAGAAACCAAGTTGGAGCAACAAAGAGCCGAGTCTGAGGTGATGTGCCAGCTAGCAAGCAGTAGACTTTCCAAATCTACAAGTTCAACAATCAGAAGACAAGTTACAACGAACCCAGGAAAATCATTCCTAACCTGGAAAGCACACAAACCCTGTTCCCAAACCACACACCTCCATCCTAAACACGTATCCTACTGTACCTTTGCAAGCAGTGTCGTGCCCTAAAAGAGCAGGAGAAAAGCCTTAGGGAATATAGGAAAGGCAAGGGCTGTTCTTGCTCCTTGCCAATCTGCTCCAGACTTGGCAGAATCACCCCCTCACCAGCAACTGGCCAACCTCAGACCCACATCAATATTCTCCAAACCATTTTAATTTGTGTTTAATATCCTGGTAAGCATCAAGCCTGTGCCACTTGATACACAGCATGGAAGGCCCTTTCATCTTAGTGTGGGGCAGGTGGACTTCAAGAGAGGCCCGGAAATGATTATTCCCAGTGGATACAGTGATTAAAAGTATGCATGAATATTGATTGCTATCAGGGGATTTCTCTGCCTAGAACACTTTTCAGGACAATAGTAAAATTGGTTAAGCACACCCTGGAAAATACCTTGCAGCTGATAGCAAAATGGTGAGCCAAAGGTTTAAAGATATTATCTGGCACTAAAAGATATAGGGCGTAGCTTTATTTAATTATTTTAATGCAAAGGAATAAATTTAATTTATGTGAGTGATTAAAGAAAAATAGCTCTGCGCACCTGTGTCCCCCGAGGGAAGAATGAGTCCGTGCAGCTCAGTCATAGGCTCAAGATAGCAACAACTGGGTAACTTTACTTCAGCCCATCCTTCCTCCCTCCTCCTGAAGCAGTCCACGTCACACTCAGCAATTGTCTCCCAAGGCCCCTCTTGAGGTGTCACACGAACCAGATTATGCCAGGAAATGGTACTAGCAGACAAACTTCCATTCATCTCAGCCTGCAATAAACTTCAGCTCAACTGCAAAACCATTCTCAACACTTGGTGGGGAAGTATACACTCCTTTCATAGAACAGTCCCTATCAATGAATCATATTTCTCCTTAGAGTCATAAACCTCCCCTAAAAGCCTTTGGGAATAGACAGGCATGGTCCCACAGTGCTACACAGCACAAAGTAGCTGACCTCTACAACAAATACCTTTGAATCTGCTCCTGGAGAATAAATTAACTTTCAACACAGAATTTTAGACCTTTTAAAATGTACGCAAAAATATATAGGTCACTACTGAATACAATTGCTTGTAAAAGGGTATTTCTCTTAAGTTTTTTGTTGCATAGCCTAAGGATCCTGGCAAACAGCCTCTATACCTATTTCCCAGAAGAGTGGGTAGAGGTGTGGGGAAGGGAGAAAAACTATGAGCAGAGAAATGAAAAGAAAACAGCACTTGAAATCTCCTTGAGAAGTCTCCCTCTTTGTCCCTTTGGCTGCTGTGCTCTTTCCAGGTAGCACAGTTCACACTGCCAAACCAAATTCCAGCTCTGGCTTCCTGTTCACTGACTGCCCAGTTCCATGGAACGATGCAAGTAATATGTTTTATAACCCAACTAATGCTACGCCATACAGAAAAGTCATAGAACAAAATGCAATTTGCAGACAGGTTTTAGCAGGTCAGAGAGGCAAAATAAAGTGCCAGGAGTCTGGTTATAGCCAAAGAGTAGTTCCTTAATTTATACAAATGGTACTTTCCATAACAAACACTGGAACCATACTGGAACATTAACTGTTTATGCTAGCATAGTCAAAAATCTGCAGAGTTCTAGGCAAAATAAATGAGATGATTCATACATTTTAATAGTTTTTGAAAATTCAGGGATAATGATGTACTGGTTGCTCATATTTTGAGGCCCTCTTTGCAATAACAAGGCAGCAAGTCCCAGCCAGAAAATAAAGCCCAAGTACTCACTGTGTTATTACAGCTTTCTGTCTCTACTACTTTTCTTCCTGACAGAGCTCCAGTATACAGCAGTTTCCACACAGGAGGTGTCACATCAGGACATCATCCTCAGCATTTGTTTGGCTCAGGCTTATTGCAACAGAAGTTCCCTACTCATACAGAACTTTCCAATGCAACCCATATTCTGTAAATATAACAAAAATTCTCAACTCTGAAATCCCAGGCAACTACCCTAGACAGGAAGCCAGCGTGCCTGCCACACTCATTTGGTAGGTGCCACACTCTTTGCTGTCAGATTTTAAAACTAACAGCTGACTTTCACAAAGGAATCTGACAGATTCAACAGGGGGCAGACTGTAGAAAACAAGTCTACAAGACTAAGTTCACAGAGGACTTTTCAGGCAGCCCATAACCTGATGTTAAGTAAATACCTTTGCACAGAAGATCTCAATTCTTATCACTAAGCCACTAGCAGTGATGTTGTACATGGAGCCTCAGTCCAATCAGTAGCAGCATGTACAGCTCCTCCAAAGCTGCCCCCTGCAGCACTTGAGAGAACGGCCTGTGATACTCACGTGCTCACACCCCACCATCACACACAAGCCCAATGTTTAAAATGAATTTTGGAATTAATGCACTTTTGGCTCAGAACCAAATTCAGGGCCAAGCAGTGGCTGTTCAATTCAAGCATGGTCAGACCAAGTCATACAAGTACAAGGCATAATGAGGATCATCTCTATGGATTTCTCTAAAACAGATTAGACAATCACACCTAATTCCATTTGGCCAAAACCACACCAAATCATTTTGCATATGTATTTAAAATATTAAAAACAGTCTTTTTATAAGCTACCAAATTACTTGTTTCAATCTTCTGATGAGAACAATCGTAGGTTTGATTACACACATTGTAAGAACAAGCAGTGATACTTGAAAAGCCTTGAAGGAAAATTTAATGCAAATAACATCACTGCACAAAAGTGAATATATGCACTGAAATTCTCAGAGCCAGAAATTCAGGAGGAAGGAAGGAAGGAAATAGATGTTTGCTTTAAGTCGTGATACTGTGTATGTAATGGTTTTATTATCCAAGTGGTTACATGATTGCTTAAGTCTTCAGGAGACATGACTTCTGAAACAGGAGCTGCTTATCAAAGCAATTTGTTCTGCATGCACACAAGGGGGCTTTTTTTTTTTTAAGTTGGGGTCATTCCTGGCATAACTGAATATGCTGAAGAATCAGAAGTGGGAATTCCTGGATAAGACCAACTTTTCTTACTTATTTGCCTCCTCCTCAGCTGAAGTGCTGAAAATACACACTACTTGATGCAATTAACATTCTGATTAATTTCAGTTACCAGAAGCTCGAGAACATAACAAGCTTTAATGGATCTGGAGTATTTCTGGCATTTTTAGTCTCTGAGAACATATACTCTGAGAGCATAAGGTAATAGCAAAATAAACTTTTGGTATTTGTTCTAAACTGGAGCTTAACTAAGGACTACCTTCTTACACACATTGGAAAGATACATACATAGTAACATAAAATCAATTTCATGCAAACATTACCAAAACAATAATGATGCAAGAGAGAAATAGTAAGAATATAAACTGCAACAACAAAATCACATCAACTCTGGAAATTTTTCCAGCATTAACGGTTTTTCAGGATGCTCATTATAATCTTTTCAGATATCATTAAGGACTTAATCTCTTCACATGTTGCTAAGAAATGGCCTGAGAAAGAGAAGTGAACAAAATAATTAACCTAAATGCTACATTTCTGTACTGTCATAGTTCCTTCCAGCTTTGCATAGGTTCACAGTGTAATTTCCTATTAACCCTCAAAAGCAAAATGTTTTCTGAAGGACAGAACATATAAGTACAAGCAGACCTTGTCATACCAGAGGCATCACATAACATGAGATGTGCTGTTACTCAGCAGCACATACCAAGGGGTCACACACCATAACTACAGCACATTTCATATGATCAAATTTTCAAAACCGTTTTCAACAACAAATTTAAGAAACATTTCCATTTATAATTTAGTCTTGACTATAGCTGAGAATTTGGTTCAAACAATGAGCATAACACTGCACACAGACTGACTTGACTGTGCAAATCCTTGCAGCAGACTGCTTCCCGCAAGGTGTCATACAGCTGCTAGAAACCACCCCCTCACTGAAGCAAATAGGTGAGCTATCTTTTCTTTTTTTGTTTTGTTGGGGGTTTTGGAGGTTTTTATTTAAATCTAAATGATTAATCATGGAAGAAATTGTCATTCCAGTTTGTTATAAGGCATTAAGTAGCTTAATGGTTCCCTACCTATTCATGCCCAGAGGGACATATGCAAAGCACTGTACTCTCCAGTTCTGGAACTCCACCTAATTCAGGATCAGATTTCACCTGTACCTTTCAAGTTAAGGTGAAAATCCTGCAGTGCAACAGCAGTATGGTGGTGAAATCTCCCATCTTTTGGACAAAGTACTAGACTAAGTCTAGGAAGATTCAAATGTAAAAAATATTTCTATACACAAAATCTTACACATTATATTCAATCTACATTACAGTTCTCCTATCTGTACAACAGAGCAAGAAATAAAGTTTTTTAAAAGGCATTCTCTTCTATTTTTCTAGACCACAAGATCTTTCAGCCAGTGCTTCACAGAAGTTCACCAAGTATCTATACTAAGAGGAGAACCAGTGTCAGCTGGTGTCTGGATAACAACATAGCCTATGTGTTGATTATGCTGTTAAAGGAAATTATTGTACTTGCATTTTCCAGATCAATATTTCTTAAAACTGTTCAGAAGAAGAGAAAGCCTTACTCAGCAAAGTCTCCACACAACTGAACTTCTCTGTTGGGAGCTACTGAGTTTTGTAAAAGAATCTCTTTCTAATCATTAAATGTATACTCATTAAACCCAAGACCTTTTGAGAGAATGAGGAAACACAACTGTGTTTCTGGCACTTGATAGGCCTATGCTTTACTGATAAGGCACTTTCCTAGCAGAGTATTTGCATTCTTACATACCTTATATTGGCAAAGAAGGACAAGAAACAACACCCTGGAGCTGGGTAGCAGAAGGCAGGAGAACACATAGAAAACAGAAGTTTGGAAATTTGCAGTACTCTACTGCTTTTTCTGTGTGACAGGAACTGGGAGCAGGGAAGTAATACAATATGAAGCTTCAGAGACAGCTGCATGAGCAGAACAATACCCTAAGTGCTCCACTGCCTGCTATAAATAACTGAGCAATCACCAGTTATTAAACCATAATGAGAAAGCCATGAAAAATATGCCTCAAATATGTCTCAAATATGCCTCATTTTGCCTCCTGTAGGTCCAGTCTCATCCATCAAATGAGAAACACATTATCATCACTATACCCAAACAATAGATGTTGTTTATTCAGTGAAACTACTGTTTATAATGTCCTGTTTGTAACAACATCATCTTCACTGTAGCCTTTCTGTCAGTTCTGCAGACCTCATCTCCATTCCTGTTCTCTAAGTAATGGCCATCTCTTTTCTTCTACTTACTGTCTCATTGTGGCATGAGACATGTTGCCCTGATTTTCATATTCCAGGAACTTTGGCATAACAAAGCTTTGCAATTGTTTTTCATCTTAAGTGAATTCTTAATCCTCTCCCTGCTCGTTTCTATTTTAACTCACAACTGCTTTTATTTCCCTCTTAGCATTCTAACTGGTTGTAAAAGAATTATCTCAAATAGAGCAGGGAATAACACAGCAAGTAGCACATTATGTTATTCTGGCTGCTCAAAGTTGGCCTGGTTTTAATAATGAGAAAGAGAAGAGGGGAAGAAGGGTTTGGGTGAGTTACCCATTCCAGCTCAGAAATGGCAGAGTCATCTGGTTTGTGAGAGTCAGAGAATACCTTAAGTGGCTTAAGAATACCAAGGCAACACAAGTCCAAAACAAAATTATAGAAAGTGAAATTTATCACAGCTCCTTACAACCCCACTTCAGACAACTGTATTAACAAGAACTTGAGGTCTTGCCAACGTAGAAAACAGAAATGCAAGTTAGAAAAACATGTAGGGAGGTGTGTTTGTTTGGCATGGGAGGAGGGAGAGTGGGGGGTTGTTTTCTTTTTTAACCATTTTCCTACTGCTAATACACACTAAATTCCTTAGGATCTGTGAGAAGTTTGGCACGTTCCAAAGGCTAATATAGGCAGAAACACTGGTTTTGGTAACATTTATAGCTAATAAGAATATGCTTCTCCCTCTAACAGACAACAGAAACTGCAATCTTAACCCAAGGTATACTAAGTAAAGAACAGAACAGACTATACAAGTCATTGCTCACCCTAATACGGTCACGTGTCTTTTCTGGCCCCAATGCCAGAATCATTTAGAAAGTTGTACAAAATGAAAAGGGAATTCAAAATCAGCATGTGGAGCAGAGACAAAAGGAGGCTCACTTAAGTGACTAGTAAAGGTGTTTGCACCTCACAATCTTGTACGTATAAGAAATCTCTCTTGTACATTTCATGTCTTACCTTCAGATGTGCGACAGAAAACTGGTTTATTTTCACACTTTAAGTATTTTTAGTCTGCTTCCTAGATTGTTTTGAGTGATTCAATCCTTACTGACAAGTTTCACACAATTAAAAGTGCCTATTTCATTAAAAACATTTTCAAGAACCTGAAATCAAGTTGGCTCATTAAGAAAAATAAATTTTACAGGTTTCAACCTAGAGCCACTCTGGAAAAGCTATGAACTACTCTATTAGCATGTAGGTTAAAAATGCTGAAGAAATGTGACAGAACAGCACAAACCCAAAGGGTGTGTGTCTAATGTGTCTACGTGGCACTGTGATGCTGTTCCCAAACACCCAAAGCTCCAGAACTGAAATCAGCAATCACAGCTTCAGCAAGGTGAGCCCCATGAGAGTCACCCTGAATAGAGCAGTAAATAAACCTATTTCTGCCTTGAGTTTCCTTGACACAGAACAGCATTGCAGTTATGCAGGTATGCACAAGCACCCTAACAGCAGCCTAGCAGCAACAGCACAGTGAGATTCTACTCTAAGATGACTTAGATCACTCCTTTGCTTAAATGGTTAAACAAAAGTCTTTCAGTCTAGTACCCCCTGCGAGACAGGTTTTCCATTTACAGCAGTGTTTCTGTACTCTTGTTCCATTTTGACTTACAGAAATGGCAAAATCATGATGGAATAAGCAGCACAAAACAATCCAATCCATTTCTGATCTTTCTTTGTACAAGAAAACCATAGAAAATGATGTATGCCTTTATAAGAGTTATTACCAAACAGACTCCTGGGCCTAGGAAATAATGGCTGAAGAGTTTCACTTCAAAAACACTCTCTTGAATACAATCCAAATGCTTACTACTCGTAATTCACCTTCTCTCCAGCAATTAAATGAAGTCATATTGACTTTATTCCATCCTAATTATTTTTATTTGACACATTAACATCAAATCACTTTGCTCCTTAGCTTCCTGGAACATCAAGCCATTACAGGCAGCTTTAAAAGGATGTAGTCTTCAAAGGAGCAGCTGCTTCACAGGTTAAAAGATTTTCATTTTATGTAGGGAAACATTATGGATGTTACCTTATTTCAGAACAAAAGCTAACATTCGAACCAGCTCACATCCTTCCCATTGTTGGGAAACGAGCATAAAATAAGGATGCTCACATGGATCTGTGAGCAAAACAGGTTGGTAATGGGTGCAGTCTGTCACAGGAAGGCTGGATGCCGCTCGCTGTCACTGCCATCGCCGAGGCGGACGGCGGAGGAAGGAGGGAGGGCCCGCCCCCCAGGCACGGCGGGCACGGAGCCACCGCCAGCCCCCTCAGCCCGGCCCAGCCTGGGGCCCTCGCCGCAGCCCGCGGAAAGGACGGGCCGGGCCCCGCCGAGCCCTCCCCATGCCGGGCCGCAGCACACCCGGGGAGAGAACCCGCCCCGCCCCGCCGCTCCTCACCCAGGTACTCGGGCCCGGGCAGCGAGAGCCGCTCGGGGCTCAGCATCCTCCTCCTGCCGCTCCTTCCCGGCTTCCGCCCGTTTCCAAGGCGCCCGACGCTCCCGGCGCTGCTCGGCCGCCCGCCCCGGCTGGGAACACGCCCCTCGCCGCCACAGTTCCGCGCCCACAGCCGCCCGCAGCCCCATCGCCCGTGCCCTCAGGGGCTGGGGCGAGGCTGCCCGGGGAAGGGAGGGCGCCTGGAGCCTGCTGGCAGCGCCCTGAGCAGCGCCCTGCGCCGAGGCCGAAAAAAAAGAGCGGTGGGCGATGCCCCGGGCAGCTGCTCCAGGGCCGAGGGACCCCTCAGAGAGGAGAGAGCGAGTGAGCAGGCTCTCCCGAAGAGCCGAAATAGCAAAAGAGACGCGTGTAAAGTCATTCTGATTAGATTCGAGTTCTCTAATTTAAGGTGTCTGCTGCTAGGGGTTATCTAGGACTACAGCCGTGAGGGAAAGATCTTAATTTGAAGGTGAATTGTAATAAGTTCAAACCATGCAATATGCTGAGTTGGCAGGGACGCATGAGAACCGTGGAGTCCAGCTCCTGGCCCTGCGCAGGACACCCCAACAATCACACCACGAGCCTTGGAGCATTGCTCAGATGCTTCTTGAGCCCCGCCAGGCTTGCTGCTCTGACCAATTCCCTGGGTTAATGAAGCCAATGTGGAGCAGCTTTGTTCCGGAGAGCAAGGAATTGAAAGTGTGACCAAGATCCTGTAGGGTCATGTCCTTCTGTCCATACTATCCCAGAGCTGGAATTTCTTCATCCCTTGTGCTCAGGAGAGGTAGGTACAGGGAGCCTCGGAAATTGTCCCTCCTGTAGATTCAAGTAGAAATGAGCAGAAAAGTCCTGAGTCGCAGGGCTCCTTCTGTTCTTGGCTGGGAGCTTCTCTGGGAATGGCCATTGCACCAGGGATGTAGGAGTGGCAGAGCTCTTCATGTGGCTGGAAGCAAGCCTGCTGGACTCCTCTTTCCCAGAAGCTGATGTGGTTAAAATTCCCAAATTACTTTGCAGTTTTTTTCATCACTATTAGAAAAAATACCAGCCCAGGACGTAATACTGGAAGTATTACAAAAAAACCCCAAACAAACCAACAAAAAAGGACTGCAGGTGTTGTCTGTGTTTTTAATGACAAATGCAAAATAACAGAAGTTAAATCAACCATTTGTACATGCATATGATCTGCCTTTATTCCACTAGAGAAAAAAGCTGAGGCATTGGTAACTCAACTTTAATCTATATTTAAAGGACAGCCACATTTAAAAAGAGCAAACAAGATGTTATAACTTAACTGTTAATATCCCATATAAGGTTGCCTGGACCACTCCTTTATCTTGTGTTCTGGCTTTAAAAGCATATGGCTTAGATAGAAATGTTTCAAAGATGAGCAGAGAGAATAGTTTAGGGAGCAGACAATGAGACACTCCAGCATGAAGAATGATTGAAAAAATGTAAGATTGCCTTAAAGAGGATAAGCATAACATATGAAATGATGTTACCTAAAATTATTTGTGCTACAATGAAAATCATTCAAAACTCCAGTTTGTTCAGCTTGACATTTCATGCATTCTGTTATAGGCTATAAATTTAAATATGGGATTTTCTTAGTAATAGATACAATTAGATCACAAAATATATTGATACAAGGTATTTTTGAGCACAGAAATTCAGTAGAATTTAGAAAGGAAGGGGATTCAAGCAATGAGAAAACACAGGATTTTGTTGTTACAGACATAAGCAGTGTCACTGGTGTTTAAAAAGCTCTTCTGTAATGCTGGTCTCTTCCAGCTGAGCTGGTAGGAGCCTTCCACAGGTTGTGCACTTTCCTTTTTGTTGTTTAAACCAGTTCTGTAAACCAGAGTTTAGCCTTGAGCAGTAGCTTGAGCACTGATTTACGAGAGGCCTTTAAAGTCCAGTTTTGAATACTACACATTCTGATATCTCTCTGGTTTTTTCCTTTGGGGTGGTCTCTTTTCTTTTCTTTTCTTTTCTTTTCTTTTCTTTTCTTTTCTTTTCTTTTCTTTTCTTTTCTTTTTCACTTGGTCTCTATGGGTTAGACGTTATTTCTTTCAGACCAGCTAAAGGAAACCTTTTGGACACTTGTCCCATTTGCAGTTTTAATAACAGTAAGTTTCAGTAGTAATAGTGCCTGACTGTTAAGAAATTAAAGAAAATTATATAAAAACAAGATGCCATTTCTGAGGCCATTTATAGGCTTTCCTGTTTACTATTATTTCTCCCTTGGCTTGCCAAAGCCTGGATTAGGAACAGGTCAGCAGCACTTACCTGTTCCCTCACTCTCATGACCTGAAAAGGGAGCAATGCTGCCAGCCTGGCCATAGGTGTTAAGTTTGTTTTACCAACTTGATTTTAGAACCCTAGACTAGTGCATTTTAATACATTGAGAGGGCTTTTCTGGGCCATTGGAAACCATCTGGAGGTTTAATAGCTGCCCCAGAGGGGCGCATCTAACAAGGGCTTAATGTTCTTTTGGACCCAGCTGGAAGAATGATGGTGACAAAAATTATTTTTCCTTGTCACAGCCTCTTGGTAGATTATCAGAGGTACAGATCTCACTTCTGGGCAAGCCTATGGAGTACACTTTTCCTGTCTACTCTGGGAATCATGGTGGTGCTTACATCTCGTAACTAAAATTGCTGCATTTTGTTTACCAAGGATATTTGGCCATCCAAATCAGTCTTTCAAGGAGGATCAGTTGGATTACTTTGGTACATTTTGTGCACACCCTCTTTCAGAGTTAACGTGATTTTGATCTGATTTAGCTTAATTCACTTTGAAGTGTGGTTTAAGCAGTTTCAGAAATCATATGTTTAGTAAACTGGGCTAACTTAGTTACATAAGAGTTCATGTGACCACAAGTTTGAAAATAGTTAGTTGTGTAATTTAAATTTCATCATGAAATAAAATGTCTTTATTATGTTAAGATGCATGGACTGAAAAATCTTTCCTGTCTAAGTTTTGTGAGTGTTCTCCAGAAACACATGCTTTGCCCCTACTATATTAATTAGCTTACTCTCTGCTGATTTTATGTTCATCCTCCTGAATTATACTATCAATGTGGAACTAAAATATTTTCCTTTTATTAGCCAAAGTTGTCCTGAGAAACAGCTCCTCTTTCAGAGAGAGTATTATATAGAATAATAAACAGGACTAGATAGCAAGAAAAAAATTCCAGAGGAAATGCCTTATTTTAAACAGATTGAGTCACTTTGCCTGGCTTCTTTAACTTTTCTTGGAATGAAATATTTCATTTGCTTAGAATTTTAACAATCATTCTATGGTAGTTACAATATAGCCTATTAGGTGTATTAGAGGAAACAACGTTGTTTTTCTTCAAGTGACTAATGTAAATGCTGTTGCTACAATGTACAAAGAACTAAGCTGTGGGCAGTCTTCTGTATTGTTCCATCTGACTGTGAAATCAATGTCAGACAGTTCCACAGAAGCGCTAAGAAAATGTCTCTAGCCTTTCTTGTTTATCCTTTGAGCATCCAAAGCATTATCCTGTTTTAAAACATAGTTAGCTAAGAGTCTGTCTCGTGCAGAACTCAGATTTTTGACTTTGATAGTGCTTTGTGTTCTTCAAGGTTTCCCACGTATTTTCCAGATGAGCTTTTCCTTATACATAATAATTAATAAAATTGCAGGTGTGATAACAAAAAGACACATGAAAAACAAATTGTACTGTGAGGAGAAAAACATTGACTTAAATAACTGTCAATCTTTATTGATAATCTATTATTTTGGGCACAGTAGCAGAGATAAGTTTTGAGGAGAGATCTGAAGAAATGGAGAATAAGAATTTCACATGCTATTATTTATGTAAATGATAGGAAATCTTGTTAGTGAAATTAAAATTATATTTTGTAAGTAATTTTAAAAATCAATGGCACTGAAGCTGGATGATTCATTCATGAGTCATTTGCAAACCTATAAAAACCTCTCATTAAATTTTTGATTTAATAGTTATTTATATGGATTATGACCAAACTCTCTAAACACATACACTAAAAATAAGATTATCTTAAATAAAATGGTCAGCCAAAACCACAATGAAATTATGTGATGAAATCCATGTTTTTATATTGTTGGTTCCTCAAGAATCATTTACAGAAAAAGATCCAGTACTTCTAGTGCTTCTCCTAATCTGAGCCACCTCCCCAGGCATACCATTCCAGAACTTTATCATGCTTTCCATAAAAAACTTCTTCCTAATATCCAGCCTATATTTCCCTTAGTTCATCTATAGCACAGTGGTTTTTCACAAGTAAATGAATTGTTTTTCCCAAATAATGCAGTATTAATTCTGGTTTACCTCTTCAGGTAAAACCTAGACAAGCAGATTGGATTTACATTATTCTTTAAGATCTTCAGAGAAACAAGATTCACTAAGTTTCTCTCTCCTAGCATCTGCCACAAGATGAATTCTGGAAACAACTGTGTTTTTCAGCTAGTGAAAGATAACATGATAACAGCAGCAGCTCTCTTAAGTAGCCAGCATTTGTACCATTACAGAGCTTAACTGTGACACCAGTAACTGCACCAGCAAGTCTTAAGTCAGGATTATACTTAACTAGTAAAATATCATAAGCATATAGGAAACTGTGCTGTGAACATGATGCCATCATAATTTTTATTTTATTTCCTAGTTTAACTGCATTTTAATCTGAATTGCTAAGATTTGATTTTCCCTCTTGAACTAGTGGACAGAAAGAAAGTAAAGAGAGATCTGATCTGATTTTGAGATCTGTCTGTATTGTTGATGTTGATTTAGGTCTAAACAAGCTCCAAGATCCTTGTATTTTAAATAAAAGTAGGTGGGGAGAAAAAAATCTCTTGAAATAATCTTCTATTCCTCAACCATAGGAGTACATTTGAATTCTGCATGGTGTGCTTATGAGAAAAGGGAATAGTAGTATGACAGATCCTGTGGCTCAGGGAGGCCACATGTTCATTGTCAAATCAATGGTAGCTGTAAGCTGTATAATAGATTCCTGGCATGTATTAAATGCAATGTCCAAATTCTGATTTTGAGTTTAGTAAACAAAGTTGGCTTTTTTGTAAGAACAAACTGTTGAAAGACTC